TTCATTGCTAGCAGACCTATTTTACAAGAAATGTTAGAAATTCTTCAGGCAGAACAAATATGGTATCAATTAGAAATCTGGATCTACACAAGTAAATTAACAATGTTGGCAACTGAATAAAGAAAGGTAAAAAAATTCTATTTTACTTATTTTTAATTGCTTTAAAACATGACTATGTATAAGAAAATCAGTAGCAATGTATTGCATATTTGCAGCATATTTTAAAGTAAATTATGTGACAACAATAGCAGAAAAAGGATGCAAGGGAGAAATTGGGAATACACTGTTTAAGGTCCTTACACAACAGGGGAGGCAAGATAATAGTTTAACGTAGACTCTAATTCACTAAAGATGTGTACTATAAACCCTGGGTCAACAATTAAAATATTTTCAAAAGAAGTATAAGTAATGTCAATCAAGGAGATAAAATGGAATAATAAGCAATATTCATTCAGTCTAAGAGCAGGCAGGAAAAAAGGGAAAAGTAACAAAAAAACAGATGGAAAAAATAAAAATCAGCTGTCTACTAATCCAAACATATCACAAATCACTTTAAATGCAATTGGTCTAAACACAACAGCTAAAAGTCAGAGATTTTCAAGTTAGATTTAAAAAAAAATCAAGACCTAACTGTCCTCTGTTTTATAAAGAAACCCACTTCAAATGGATATCCAGGTTAAAAACAAATGTATGATAAAGATGTACTATGAAACACTAAGTCAAAGGAACATAGAGTAGCTGTAATATATTAATATGACAAAACAGATTTCAGGACAAGGAATGTTTTCAAGGATTAAGAGAAAAATTACATGATGATAAAGGGATCAACTGTCCAAGAAAATACAATAACCTTTACACGTATATGCATCTTGAAAATGGCAAAATACTAGAGACAAAAACTAATAAAACTGAAAGAAGAAACAGGCAAATCTGTACGGTTCTCTCAGAACAAGAGGCAGAAAATCAGTAAGGATGTGCATGGTCTGCATAGCACAATAAACCAACTTAACCTAATTCACATTTATAGAACCATCCTCCCGACTATAACAGAAGACATATCCTTCACAACGTGGAACTTGTCAGATTCGTGTGTGTGTGTGTGTGTGTGTGTGTGTGTGCGCGCGCGCGCGTGTGTGTTCTGGGCCTTAAATTTGAAAGAACAGAATCTTTCATAAGATATTCTTGTACTAGAAGTACTATGACAGAACTTCTAAATAACCAAAGAAGTCAAAGCAGAAGTTTTGAACTGAATGAAAGTGAAAATGAAAACACAGCATATCAAAAGCAGAGATGTAGCTAAAGTGAGGCTTAGAGAAAAAATTTTGTACTAAATGATTAGGCAAGAAGGAAGGTCCCAAAGCCTTGGGAGAGAGAGAGAACAAATTAACCTTATGAGAGAGAGAACAAATTAAAGCATAACAAACAGAAGGAAAGAAATAATCAACATTGAAGCAGATACCAATAAAATTGAAAGCAGAAAAACAATAGAGAAAATCAATTGCATTCAGTCTGTTTTTTGAAAAAACAATGTAATTGATAAACCTATGCAAACTGATGAAGGGGAGAGAGAGACAGAGAGAGAGAACAAAATATCAGAAATGTATATGTGTCAATCCTAATCTCCCAATTCTTCAAACCCCCCAATTTCTCCTTGGTAGTCATACATTTGTTCTCTACATCTGTGTCTCTATTTCTGCTTTGCAAATACACTATTGATACTGTGTATAAGATATATATATATATATATATATATATATATCAGTTCAGTTCAGTTGCTCAGTCGTGTCTGACTCTTTGCAACCCCATGGACTGCAGCACGCCAGACCTCCCTGTCCATCACCAACTCCTGGAGTTTACTCAAACTCATGCTCATTGAGTCGGTGACACCATCCAACTGTCTCATCCTCTGTCATCCCCTTCTCCTCCTGCTTTCAATCTTTCCCAGCATCAGGGTCTTTCCCAATGAGTTCGTTCTTCACATCAGGTGGTTAAAGTATTGGAGTTTCAACTTCACCATCAGTGATGAATATTCAATGAATATTCAAGACTGATTTCCTTTAGGATGGACTGGTTGGATCTCCTTGCAGTCCAAGGGACTCTCAAGAATCTTCTCCAACACCACAGTTCCAAGTCATCAATTCTTTAGTGTTCAACTTTCTTTATACTCCAACCCTCACATCTATACATGACTACTGGAAAAACCATAGCCTTAACTAGACGGACCTTTGTCTGCAAAGTAATGTCTCTGCTTTTTAATAAGCTGTCTAGGTTGGTCATAACTTTTCTTCCAAGGAGCAAGCGTCTTTTACTTCATGGCTGCAGTCACCATCTACAGTGATATAATTATACGTAAATATAATATATAGACATAAATTAGTTACATAAATATATATATATATAATGTGTTTATTATAGGTGTATTTTAATTAGTTATATAAATATATACATATTTATATACATATATACACATGTGTATATTTATATAACTAATAAAAATGCTTGCTTGAATTAGTTGTATAAGTTTATACATATATGAATATGTATATAGCACATGTATATAAAATACAAATATGTATATATTTATATAACTAATAAAACATGCTATATAGCACATGGCACTGAACTCTGCTCAGTGCTGAGGGGACAACTGTATTTCTGTGACCAACTCATCTTGTTGTACAGTAGAAACTAACACAGCATTGTAAAGCAACTATATTCCAATAAAAATCCACTTTAAAAAGCAAAATCCAACACCAAAAAGAAAAATCAGGAATAAGAGAGAGAAGTCACTGTTGATTCCACAGGGATTAGAAGGATGATAAAGGAATACCAAAACCAATCCTATTGCTATAGATTGGTAAATTAGATGAAATAAGTAAATCCATTCAAGAAGAAATAGGTAATCTAAAGAATCCCATATATATTAAAATCTACAAACAAGATTATAGAATCAATATACTAAAGTAATTCCTATATACTAGAAATAAATAAGTGCCAGCAAAGAAAAGTAAAATGCTTAGGTATAAATATAACAAAATATGTCCAGAATCTGTATGTTGAAAACTACAAAATATTGGAGTAGAGATCTAAGAAGAATTTTAAAAATGGAGAGATAACCCAGTGTTCATGAACTGGAAGTCTCAACATGAAGAAGTTAATTCTCCCCAATTTGATCTATAGATTCAACACAATAGCAAGCAAAATGTCAGCCATCTTGTAGACATTTACAAGATGATTCTAACATGTGTACAAAAAGGCAAAAAGCACTGAGAAGAGCCAAAACAATTCTGAAAAAGAAAAACTCACATTACCCAATTCCAAGACAAATCAAAATTTAAAGCTATTAAATCAAATCAAAATTAAAACTATTGCTCTGATCGACACTTTTAAGAGGATAAAAAGAAAAGTGACAGACCAGGAGAAAACACTTACAAATCACATATATGATACCCAAGACTCTATCCAGAATATATAAAGAACTCTGATACTCAACAATAAAAAAATAAACACCCCAACTTTAAAATGGGTAAAAGATCTGAACAGATACTCCACCGAAGAAAATATACAGATGGCAAACAAGCACATGAAAAGATGCTCAACATCATTTCCCTCAATCGTGTCCGACTCTTTGTGAATCCATTGACTATACAGTCCATGGAATTCTCCAGGCAAGAATACTGGAGTGGGTAGCCTTTCCCTTCTCCAGGGTATCTTCTGGACCCAGGAATCAAACCGGTGTCTGCTGAATTGCAGGTGGATTCTCTACCAACTGAACTATCAGGGAAGTCCATTATTTACTAGGGTAGTAAAATTATACCTGTTAGAAAGACAAAAAAATTAAAATTAAAACAAAACAAGACAAAACCTTAAAATAACAATGGCTGGCAAGGATGCAGAGCAACTGAAACACCCATACATTGCATGAGAGAGTATAAAATGGTACTAACTTCCTGAAAAACTGGTAATTTCTTATACAGTTAGACATATACCTACTCATTACCCAGGGATCAAATCCACATCTCTTGCATCTCCTGCACTGCAGGCAGATTCTTTACCACCGAGCCACAGTCTCAGGCAAATCCCTGAATTTCTGATACTCACAACGTGATGATGACACACAACTGCCCAGACAACATCTAGGGCTTATGAGACATAGATAAGAGCCAGCTGTAAAATGTGAAGTTCTGCGTGACTTGACAGCATGATTACTGCTCTTTTATTCAACAGCGATGCCCCCAACCCTTGCAAATACATCAGTGTACACACCTTGACCTAGTTTTGAAAATAGTAGTATAAACAGAACCTTTTTCAGAGGTAGAAAAATTTTAATGGGTTGAGTCTGTTTCTTTCAGAAACTCCAGAGAAACATCAGTCTGAGTCTTCCCAAATTTTTCATGGCTCCTGTCCATCAGGATACACAGACTATCAAGATTCAGATGTGAGGTTTAACCTGACACTAGAGTTTAACCACAGACTTTTTTGTGTTTGCAGTTAAAAGTGCTGCTGTTGTTCAATCACTAAGTCATGTTTCACTCTCTGCAACCACATGGACTAAAGCATGCTAGGCCTCTCTGTCCCTCACCATCTCCTGAAGTTTGCCCAAGTTCCTGTCCATTGACTCAGTGATACCATCCAACCATTTCATCCTCTGTCTTCCCCTTCTCCTCCTGCCCTCAATCTTTCCCAGCGTCAGGGTCTTTTCCAATGAGTCAGCTCTTCACATCAGGTGGCCAAAGTATTCGAGCTTCAACTTCAACATCAGTCCTTCCAATGAATATTCAGGGCTGATTTTCTTTAGGACTGACTGATTTGATTTTATTGCTGTCCAAGGGACTCTTAGGAGTCTTCTCAGTTACAAGTAAACTTTTTAAAATAAAAAATAATAAAATTTTTAAGCAAAAAGGAAAAAAAGTAAAGCCTCTGCCTACCTCTCCTGTCCCACCTATTAATGAAACCACAGACTCACCTAGAAACAGGGCAAACCCCTGGAGCTATCTCACCTGCTGGCGAAGGTCAGGGCCAAGGCAGTGGCCAGATGAGGCATCAGCCGCAGGGTCTGCGTTTGGTGCTCAATAATCTTGACCTCTTCCCTGGCTTTGGGTCCAAACTGCCTCCGGCTAGAGAGAAGCAAACAAACAAAACTTTACCGAAATCTAACAGGCAACGTCATCCCCAAAACTCATTTGCCTTTAAATAATTCAGAATTGATGTTTTCTAACATGGAACTGGAGAAGACTCTTGAGAGTCCCTTGGAAAGCAAGGAGATCAAACCAGTTATTTCTAAAGGAAATAATCACTATATTCATTGGAAGGACTGATGCTGAAGCTGAAGCTCCAATACTTTGACCACCTGATGCAAAGAGACGACACATTAGAAAAGACCCTGATGCTGGGAAAGACTGGAGGCACGAGAAGAGGGGCAACCAAGGAGGAGATGGTCGGATGGCATCACCGACTCAATGGACATGAGTTTGAGCAAACTCGGGGAGATAGTGAAGGTGTGTTGCAGTCCATGGGGTCACAAAGAGTCAGACACAACTGAGCAACTGAACAGCACCTTCAGATAACAGAGTGCCCGAGTCTTCTCAAACCGAGTGAAGATAATAAGATATCGAGAGCTTCTGAAGGCAGTCCAGCAAAAAGCTTCTCACCTCCTCTGGAAATTAACCTTCCCGCCATGGAAATTTTTACAGCAAAGTTACCTATTTAATACACAGAGTAATTTTTACACCTTAACATTTACATGGCATTTTATAGTTCCCAGTGCCTTGTGATTATTTATTACTCAGTTTTACTAAGTTTCTGACATACCCCAGAACATATTTCAAAAGGACTCAACGAGGAGGCAGTGAACTCTGGTGCTTCTGTCAGATTCACAGGCAGGTCCTTATTTTCAGCCCACGTCATCCCGCCTGGAGTTTCTCGCAGGAAAGGCAATGTCTCCATCCTGCCTTAAACCCTGGGCACTGTGTACAGCGCTGCCTTTCCCGCTCTCTTTTTATAACTTTTTTTTGAGTCTTTATCGAATTTGTTACAACATTGCTTTTGTTTTATGTTTTGTTTCCTGTGGGATCTCAGCTCCTCAACCAGGGAGCGAACCCTCACCCCCGCACCGCAATGTGAAGTTTTAACCACTGGGCCGCCAGGGAAGCCCCGACTGCCTTTCTCTCTGAAGCAGCCATGCAGAGGTGAACAGAGGCCCTGCTTCGAGTGCTTGTAAAGTGGGGTAGGATGGTACCCAGACATCGCCCAGCAATTAATCACACAGAATCCCATGGCTGCATACGGCAAGAGCCTGGTTTGTCTAGATCACCCCCCGCTCCGTGCAAACTGATGCTCTACAATCTGGGCATGGCAGCCTCCTGTCTGTGGACAATCCCGACTTTAATGTTGATTTTTAAAAACATTTCACACACACATACACATGCACATATGCACGCAAACCTGTGCACACATACGCAGGAGCGCTCATGCTAGGTTATCCAGCGGGCAGCCTGCTTCAGCACCAGTGAAATGAGTACCCGCAACTGTTACTGTTGCTGTCAGTCGCTCAGTCGTGTCCGACTCTTTGTGACCCCATGGTCTGCAGCCTGCCAGGTTCCTCTGTCCATGGGATTCTCCAGGGAAGAATACTGGATTACTCAAGGACAAAGAGGAAACGGCAAATTTTTTAAATTTTATATTTGACCTTTTTTATTATAATTTCAGGCTTTAATATTGTCCCCAGGGACTTCCCTGGTGGTCCAGTGTCTAAGACTCGCTGCTCCCAATGCAGGAGACCGAGGGTCAATCCCTGGTCAGGGAACTAAATCCCATATGCCACAACTAAAACATCCCTCATGTGGCAATGAAGATCAAAGATCCTGTATGCCACAACTAAGACCCACACAACCAAAAAAAACAAAAATATTAAATAATACTGTTACTATTTGTAATTAAAAGAAAGGCACTATGATCTTTTTAGTTCATAAGGCACCTAGAATTTACAACCTGACCATGTCGTATGGGTAGCTAACACAAGCACACTTGGGCACACTGTGAGCTCAGGTTCATTTTCTATGAGCAGAGCTTCCCCAGATACAGTCTAACCACCTGCAGATGGTTGTCCGAGGAACATGACCCCACCCTCCCTTTGCCCATGCCCTCCATCCATCCCAACCACAACAGGGCACAGTGCCAAACAAGCCTGATAGTCTGTAGGAAAACAGCTTTGGCTGGATCATTTTGAAACCAATAAGTCCGTCATCAACCAAAAAGTGGTACCAATGTAATGTCAGGGTATTCTACACACGCCATTCGTCCCCACTGCTTTAACTGGCTAGAATTAAACATTTAACCGCACGAATAGAATCACATCACATTAGAATGTGTGATCTGTCGTTAACTTTTGGGGGTATTAGACATATTACTAGATACCTAACCAATTTCCTTAAACTGATATTCTGTTCAATATAAAATATTAAACTGGGGTCTTCCTTCATGGCTCAGTGGTGAAGAAACGGCCTGCCAACACAAGAGATGCGGGTTCAATCTGTGGGTCGGGAAGACCCTCGGAGAAGGAAATGGCAACCCACTCCAGTATTCTTGCCTGGAGGGTCCCACAGGCCGAGGAGCCTGGCGGACTACAGTCCATGCAGCTGCAAAAGAGTGGGACGCGACTGAGTGACTCAACAACAACCGTTTTAAAACAGCACCTGCGGCCAGACTCACAGCTCACTGAGGGCAGGCCTGTTCTGTCTTCCGGTGTCGCGGCCTGGCCAGGTGTGAGTGGGTGGAAAAGACTGAAAGTGAGGTGACAGGTGATGAAAGGTCCTGCCATCTCCCAGCAGCAACACACCTGACTCCTCCACCTCTTATCCCTCCGTGTCTCCTTGGAACGCCTCCTTACTCATAGACATTCTGATAAAAGCCCAGCTGGGAGACATGCGGTACTGGGTGGGAGCCAGGAAGCAATTACAGTTGTGATGGAGGAAGCAAATAGATGAGGCATCTACCTTGTCCTTACGCCCAAGAGCCCACCCTCTGCTGTCTGGGGTTGGGTTTTCTTCCAAGGACAAGAAAAGAACAAATGAGGGACTTCTCTGGTGGTCCAGCAGCTAAGACTCCAAGCTCCCAACGTAGGGGGCCTGGATTTGATCCCTATCTGGGAACTAGATCCCACATGCCACAACTAACAGTTCAAATGATGCAACTAAAGATCCTGCATGTTGCAACGAAGATCAGATTCCATGTGCCCCATCTAAGACCTGGTACAGTCACATAAATAAATATGTTTTTAAAAAAGAAAGAAATGAGTGGGTGGAAAGCAGGCAGCACCCATAGTCTTTCCTTCCCTTTCTCTGGCCCAAGACACCAATAGTCCTCCCATGCACCGAGCCAGGAAGTTCTCACTGGCGTCTCATCCATCACATGTGCTCTCTGGCTTCTCCAGGTGAAAAGATGACACTCAAAGCTAATGATTATTCTCCTGCCCAGAGATGCAACCAGAGTCATCCCTGAGATCGCCATCATCGAACCCAGAGCCAGTAGCCTGGCTCCAACAGGGGCAGCAGAGAGAGGTGGCCTCAAGACTTTGTGCTCTGAGCGGGCCTGGCGGGAGCAGAAACCCTGCCTGCCACCCTGTGGTCACCCTCTTATTGACACGCTCAGGCCCCAGTCTACTCACAGAGGGCCATGATGGTCCAGGCTGGTCCTCTGGTTGCCAGCATCCTTGGCATGCTGCCCTGAACACAGCTCACCAGACCGCAATCCCTGCAGTTGGCCAAAAATTACTGCCTGCCAGACATTTTTACTCTTCCAGTTTATGATCTATATGGACATAATATTCTTCCTGTCCTTTTCCTCCACTGGGTTACTATTTTTCTTTCAAAAGCCAGGTAAAGGCTATACTTTTCTCCATAAACATCATTTTATTTCAGGGCCAGAAAACAACCCCAAAGTCACTGAACTCAAATTTTTCATGGTCTTTAAAAGAGTGTGCATCACAGTATCCATGTGAGAGGGCTGTGAACGATGCCATTTAAAATGATAGATTGGGAAAGCTATTTCTGGATTCCAGTGAGTCATAAGGACTGGAGGAAACATTTATTTGGGGATTGTTTTATTTCATTCCCACTCAATTTTGAACACAGCCGCTTAAAGCAACATTCGTAGAAAGTGACACAGCTATTAATCACCCACACAGCTACTACACGTGCAGCCTCTGGGGAGACACAGGCTGCCCGCCTCCCCAGCTCTCCCTCTAGTCTCTTCTCCCAAAGGAGGCCAGTGACCTACTAAAAAGATAATTGCTTTGCATGTTTCCTGCTTCTGGAGCATCGTTGCATCAGCCTGCTCTGAATGACAGCCGGTCATACTGGAAGAAGAGAGGAGTTCTATGGCTGGCCCCCCATCCTTCATCCTGAAACTTCTGGGGGTGCAAGCTGGTTCACACCCCTACTGCCAGGGGACAGACCCCTGCTTCTCGGCTGTCAAAGGGCTGACCTCTACGGACAAAAGCTGGGCAGATTCCTGAGGCCCAGCCTCACTCCCTGTGGCCACCCGCCCTCGTTTAATAACTCAGCCACAGACAGGATTCAAGGAAGCCTGTGAGTGTCCCACAGGTGACCACCGTGCCCCATTCCCACTGGCCCCAGTGGAGACCGCAGCCTCTTAGAGAGCCCACAGCCCATCTGAATCTGCTTCTCTCCTTCTTTCTGATGTTCCTGAACATAGGAACCCAGAGGGAAAATATGTTACAAAGCAGGATATTTTTTAAAATTTCTATTCGAACATAGTTGATTTACAATGTTGTGTTACTTTCTGCTGTCCAGCAGAGTGAATCAGTTATACATTTACATATGTTCACTCTTTCTTAGATTCTTTTCCTATATACATCATTACAGAGTACTGAGAAGAGTTCCCAAAGCAGGACATTTTAATAGCACCAGTTGGACCTGGCAGATTGAGTTCAACTGGCTGACCAGGATGTGAAAACCTGGCTACATTTTTTAAAAGATTTTTTTTGATGTGAACCATTTTCAAAGCCTTTATTGAATTTTTTACAATATTGCTCCTGTTTACGTTCTGGTTTTCTGGACATGAGGTATATGGGATCTTAGCTCCTAGATCAAGGATCAAACCCATACCCTCTTGCATAGGAAGGGGATGTCTTAACCACTAGACTACCAGGGAAGTTCCTAAACCCAGAAATTTTTTATCCAGTAATGCATGAAACAGATGCCAGACTCCCAGCCCCAAACTTCACCAGTCCCAGCCCCAGCCCCATGCCAGTGTCAAGTTTGGGATCATGAAAGGGTTCAGACTGCACACGACTCTCACTGGTTTTTGTTTTTTGTTTTTTTTTAATAAGATGAACATTTAGTAGCCTGCCTGGGAGCTCTGACAAAGCAATCCTGCCTTGAAATATCAGCCTCTACATGTGGCCTCCACCATATTTTAGGTGTCATTCTTCAAATGGTCAATTTTCAATCCATCTGCAGGAGAGATGGAAAAGGTACATGTATGTAGTCTATAAATAAGTGCTTCTTTAATATTAGCCTTCATTTGTTATTGTTTAGTCACCAAGTCATGTCTGACTCTTGCCCACCAGGCTCCCCTGTCCATGGAATTTTCGAGGCAAGAATACTGGAATGGGTTGCCATTTCCTTCTCCAGAAGATTTTCCCCACCCAGGGATCAAACCCATGTCTCCTGAATTGGTGAGTTCTTTCCCACCAAGCCACAGGGAAGCCCCAATAGCAAACCTGGTTGTGATTAAATATGGTCCCAAACAAGAGTTCTCCAAGTGCCCATCAAATCCTGTAGAGCTCCCAGTGAATACCTTTTGCACTTTCCGGACACCTTTTCCCTCCCACTCATTAGCAGGCTTTCTATTCAACCAGAGGAAAAAACAGATGATCCTCAATG